ATGAGAGAGTAAGGTGCCAGGTCCGGAACTTGAACCACGGTCCGTCATGTGGGAAGTCCAGCGTCCTAAACAGCATGCCACCTGCTGGCCCCAGCTGGTTGGCATTTTACCTTTATTTTTTAAAATAATTATTTAATTTTATTTATCATTCTTCTTCTTCTTTATTTTTAATTCACTAGAAAGAGACAGAGGAAGAGTGAAAGTGAGAAAGCAAGCTACCAGGTCTGGGACTCGAACTATGGTTGACCAAGCGGGAGTCCAACACTGCAAACACCATGCCACCTGCCGGCCCCATAGGCATTTTACTTTCTAAAAGTTCTCTTCTTTCTCTTACGCCATCGGGCCTTAGAAGCCGGTGCTTGTACAGCGTGGACAACCCTGGATGAGTTTCCTAAAGATACTGGGCCAGTCTTAACAGAGACATGGTCCTCCCAGTGTGTGGCCCACAGGGAACGTGTTCATCAGCTGCCTTGGGGACAGAACACGCACAGGAGAGGGCCCAGGGCTGGCCCTTGGAAGGACAGGTGCCCTGTGGGTTCATGCTGTGGGCGGCTGCAGTGGGGAGCGGTCTGTGCACAGCCACCGCGTGTTCAGGGACCCGGGCCTCCCCCGTGGTGTCCTGGAGCCGTGTGTGTGTCACCCCGGTGTCGTCAGTCAAGGCAGAGTGAAGACTCGCTCAGTGGTGTTACCCTTGCCATGCAACGCAAGCCCAAGCGTCCTCTCGCTGAGCACAGGTAGTCCGGAGGGAGCTCTGGCCGGCTCAGGGAGCCAGGGGTGCTCAGAGTGCAGAGTGAGGCTTACTGGCTTTTCCTTTCCTGTTCTTTTCTTTTCGTTGTTGTTGTTGTTGCTAAAGGGCTTGTGTGCTTACCAATGATGGGGCAGAGATGGGAGTGAGAGCGCACCCCCTGGAGAGATGGCCACACCACAATCCATTCTCCTCTCGGGATCTTGGGGCTCACATGCCCAACGTGTTTTCCAAGCCACCAGGTCCAGGACTCCAGCAACACGGTCTGCCAGTGGGATCCAGCCCCTTAAGGCCCACCTCCTGGCCCGGGCTTGATGAAGGCTTGATGTCTTTTCTTGTTATTTTATTTTAATTTTTATTTTTGGAGAGGTTTTTGCTATAGGGCGCATGCACCCGTCAGAAAGACAGAGACAGAGAGAAAGTGAGAAATCACCCCCCAGGGGGCGGTGGCCACGCTGCAATCCCTTCTCCTCCATTCTCTTGGGATCCTGGGCACACACACGCATGCGCCCAGTGTGAGGTTTTTTTTGTTTATTTGTTTGTTTTTTGTTTTTTAAATAACTATTTTATTTTTTATTTGTTTATTTTAATTTGACCAGAGAGGGACAGAGTGAGAGAGAGAGAGAGAAAGCCAACCGCCAAGTCCAGGACTCGAACCACGGTCGGCCATGTGGGAGTCCAGCACCTTTAACCACCACACCACCTGCCAGCCCCAACCCAATGAGAGTTTAAGCCTCCGGGTCCAGGCCTCGAATTGCAGTCAGCTACATGGGAGTCCAGTGACATAGCCATTACACTAACTGCTGGTCCCAAGGCTTGATGACTTTTCAATGAGAAATGCTTTTCTACTCTACAGAAGCTTGAAAAAATGAACCAAAACGCAAACCAGGGGAATAATGTAGTCCAGAGGCCAAGAAATAGAATAACAGCTTTTTTTTTAGAGGGTTGTTTTTTTTTTTTTCCACTATAGGGTGCGTGCACTTGCCAGACAGACAGAGAGACAGAAAGCAGGAAATCGCCCCCCAGGGAGGATGGTCACGCCGCAATCCCTTCTCCTCCATTCTCCTCTCGGGATCTTGGGCACACACGCACACGCGCCCGGCGTGAGTTCTAAGTCACCGGGTCCAGGACTCGAACCACGGTCGACTACGTGGGAGTCCAGCGACATAGCCATTACGCTAACTGCTGGTTCCCTAGAATAACTGCTTTTTCGGCGAGTATTAGAGCCCTACTACGTGCTGGGCATGGCTCTAGGTCGCTGTGTCTGTGAACAAGACAAACCCCTCATGCAGCTGAATTTGCATTCAGTGAGGTTGATAGGCAGCAAAGCTAAGAAACTATTTTGTAACGTGTTTGAAAGAAAGGGTGAGTTTCGGGGGAAACGGGGCAGGTTTGGGGAACGGGAGTACCTGGGTAGAGTTGCAAAAACTGATGGTCAAGGTAGCACTAATCAAGAGAGTGACATCCAGGGGCCAGCATCTGGTGTAGTGGTTAAAACACTGGACTCCCACATGGCTGGCCGCGATTCGAGTCCTGGGCTTGGGGGCTTTGAAACATACCGGGTAATATGGGACCAACAAGTGGCTTGGTAGTTAGGGGCTCTGGACTCCCACCTGGCCAACTGTAGTTTGAGTCCCGGACCTGGAGGCTTCCTTTCTCATTTTCCATCTTTCTCTCTCTCCCTCTCTCTGTCCACATTTAAATAAATAAAGTTAAATAAAATAATTCTTTAAAAAAAAGGAGTGTGTGCCAGGCGCGTGTGCGTGCGTGCCCAAGATCCCGAGAGGAGAATGGAGGAGAAGGGATTGCGGCGTGACCATCCCCCCTGGGGGGTGATTTCTCGCTTTCT